GATATCAAACAATGATCTCTGAGATTGGAAACCATAAATGGCATTGCTGCAAAAATACATTGTAGCACGTAAAAAAGCCATCAGGCGCAAGGCAGCCTTATCACTCTCCCCGGCAAGCGGGAGGCGAAACTCGACCGCTTCTGGGACTCGGCAAAACTCCCGCATGGATTCGATACTATTAGGAGGAGCTGAACTCAGGCATCCTGAAGCTCGATCGGCATCCGACAAAGCTGGAACCCAGGTCCCAGGTCTAGCAGACCCCGACTCGTCCCCTAGCGCCCAATACGCCACGCGGTCTCTTGGATCGATCGATGGAATTGAGTAATCCTCTTTCGGAGCCGTAACTCGAGGTTGCGAGCTCGTTCCCTCGGAGCTGCGACAATCGGAACTGGTTGAGGAACGAGTTCTCCATTTTGAAAACATGCTTGATAACTTTGAGAGAAACAAATCCAAAGGAAGTAGAGAGAAAACTTCTTGGATAAGTTATGGAGAATGAAGTAAAGAATTTAAAAGTTTACTCCATATACTTATAGGAAAAAGTTTACTATTCACCTTTGGACTTTTGGCCATTAAAGTTCCGCCTAATTCTATCAAACTTGCCGAGCAAGTCCTATCCGCTCGCAAGAACTCCACGATTCTTAAGAGCTGGGGGGCTAACTGTTGGGGTCAAAATTGGTACGACGGAATCAATAGCCAAAACTTCCCACAAAAAGATAAAAAATATGTTTTATAAAACTCGAGAAATCGTTTTATAAAACTCGAGAAATCGTTTTATAAAACTCGAGAAGTCGTTTTATAAAACTCGAGAAATCGTTTTATAAATCCAAAAGAGATTTCCGAACAAAGGGTATCCGCGGAAAACTCAGAACATCGTTATCTCGGGAGAACGAAACAAACGTCGATTACACGATCGTCCGAGTTAAGCACAAAACCGCGAAAAACCAAAACCGCCGTAAAACGCGAGCTAGTCCCGACACGACTAGCTCGCCAAACTAGTCTCGTCACGACTAGCACGCCGTTTGGCAAACTAGTCCCGTCCCGACTAGCTCGCCGTTCGGCGAGCTAGAAGCTTCCCGGGCAGCTCGCCGAATGGCGAGCTAAACCGGTCCGGTTCGGCTCGCCGTACGTCGAACCGACCGTCCCGAACCTCGATCTCACACATCCTTGAGTCAAGGCTTATGTCCTTCGACATGATCGTGTTCTGAACGACGGTCGAAATGTCTCCTGTTTCGTCTCAATCCGTCCTATTGTTCGAGTTTTACGATAAAAACCGTAAAACTTCGTTTTCTCGAAAAGGACTCGGGGAAATCGTATAAAACGGCAACGGTTAAACGAAACACCAAACATTGCCTAAACTATACGATTTATTCGAGATTTTTCGTAAAAATCTTAGAAAACGCATTTTTAATAAAAGACGTCGAGTGAATCGTAAAAACGGCAGCAATTAACCGAGAAACGAACGTAGTTAAAATTTACGATTAAATCGAGGAACTTATTAAAAACGGCATCAGATCAGGAAACGATCTCGTGTAAAGTCGCAAAACGGATTTATTGCAAAACGGCTCAGAAGGTCCTAAAACGTGATAAAAGCCCATCTGGCGATCTTAACGAAATCTAACCCGAAGATACGATAACGTTTTGACGATTTACCCGTAGAAGAAAGATAAATGTCAAGTTTGAAGGATAATGGCAAGTTCAAAGATAAATAGAAGATTTCCGCGGGAAAAAAGGAAAGATCAAGATAAATGGAAGATTCCTGATAAACTCGAATCTAGGCGAAATAGAAGGACCAAACCGCCAAGGAAGGGAGTATATAAGAAAGAGGCATAGGGCAGAAGCAAAGACACGTTTTTCAGAGCTTTCACCACCAAACTTAGCATTTAGGAATTTTTTCCGTTTTTGTTATCGAGCTGCGTCTCAACTAGGGTTTTCGGTCTTAGACTTCTAGAGTTAGGGATTTCGCCGACGGCTCATGCAGCTAAGGCCACTCTCACTGTAACCGTTCTTACGCAGACTCGGAATAAGATCCTTCTTACTCTTTATCTCGTTCATTCTTACTTTAATTTTAAGTTCATCATTTTCTTAATTATCGTTGTGCGGTTCCGCAGATAGTCGGGTACTCTGGAAACTTAGGGTTTACTCAAAGTTTCCTTATTTACGATTCATTGACAGTAAGTGAATTTCGGTTCCCACATTGGAGTTGAAAGCATTCTTTAAACTCCAAAAACATATGCCGCTCCATGGCATCCGATCTACACAAGGTCCACCGGATCTGAAAGGACCTTCATGCTTCACCCATATCTTCACAATGGAGAGGTGAAAACAACATACCCAACAAAGAAACAACCAAAACCCATAGGCAAACGAAACAAGGCGAAGCTCCTACGCGATACAACACACTGAACTCAGACGAGAAACCAAACGATCAAACTGGATATATTATATCAAGAGTATAAGCGGGCAAACCACACCGTCAATCACAAAAATCCAGAACCTCCATCTTCATAGCAGAGAAGTTCATAGCCAAGGAAATAGTATTTGGCATTCACCCCTCCAACTCCACAACAGCCTTCACCAATATCCGATGACCAGAGCCACCACTGGAAAGATGGAAACTACACACCACCGTGCCGGTGAAATACAACACCCCTAAAACCAGAAAACGCCAAGACGCTACAAGATCTCTAAGATCAATACGTTGACTGAATCACAAAAAAGAAGTCAAATAAAGGTAAATGAGAGCGAAGGAAGCCTCTCCCAGCGACGACGAGGAGCGCCGAACGCTGGAGAAGCAAAGATCTGGTCAAGAAAGTCGACGGCGACTGATAGGTCTCTGTTGCTTAAATCACTGCTGGTTTCTATGAATAAGTGTTACGAATCTTCTTCTTCCTCGTCGCCCCTCATGTCTTCCCTCCTCCTCCCCCTAATCCCTCATCCCCACCGCCGACGAACTCTCCGATCAGACCAGATCCTCTTCCGCCGCGCCTCCTCCACCCCCGCCGCTACTCTTTCACCCTAATACGAGAACGATAGAAAAGAAAGTAACTAGGGTTAGTTTTGTAATTTATCATTAAATGAAAGTGGTATATTTGAAAAGTGCAATTAAATTGTGGTATATTTGAAAAGTGGTAGTGTGAAAGTGGTAGTTATGAAATTTTCCCTCTCTATTTTGAAGTTTCATAAACTCTATATTTGAAGTTTCAAAGTGTTTTTCTCCAAAAGAAAAACTTCAAAATTATTTGTATATTACATTATAGTCCTTATATTTTTCACAGTTAATGAAAATTCATAAAAAATTTGATAAATAACTAACACATATATAAAAATATTACAACAATATTAATTAATAAAAGTTTACACTAAAATATAAAACTAGAAATAGAAATATTAAACTACAAGCATAATACCACATTAGTTCATAAAATTATCTCTGACATCAGAATCCCCAAAATGCCTTCATTTTCAATCAATTTAAGTAGTGATGATGGCAAGTTCACGTTCTATTGGATCGAAGAAATCAATTATCAAAAGGAAGACTACCAAAGGTAATAATATAGCGGCTAATACTTTGATATCATCCAACGAACAAATCCTTGATTTTTTAAAAGAAAGTGCAACAAGCAGGGATAAAAATCATGAGATAATTGAATTACGAATGAAAAATGAAGCAAAACAGTTAGCTTTAAAAGAAGTAAAAGACGAAAATAAAATATTGCTAAAAACTTAGCTTATTTCGGTGATATTAATACTCATGAATACATTCGTTCTGAACAAGAAAGAATCATACGAAAAAGAGGTCAACAACAACAAGAACAACCATCTTCGGGTACAAAAAAAGTTGTTTTGATTTGAAATTTTTTGGACTTTCTATGGGAGATTTACCAGATTATTAGTGTTGTTGTAATATTTAAATTTCTATAATAATTATGTTTTCATGTACCTTTTTAGAAAATAATTTTAATTAAGTTTGTTTTGTAATATTCTTGTTGTCTAATTCTACTTTTAAAGTAGTATAAATCTTATTTTAAATTTCTTATTTAATTTTATGTGTAAAGCTTAATATATAGAAATAAATTTGAAGATTTGTGAGATATATTTTTTTTAAAGATTAAAATGATAAATAAGAAAATACTTAAGAATCATAAATAAGATATGTAAATATAAGGACTAAATTGCAAATAAAAAGATGAAACTTCAAATTTGGAGTTTTGAAGTTTTTCTTTTTCGAGACCAAAAAAAATCTATATTTGAAATTATAGAGTCTTTTGGAGATGCTCTTAGCGAATCCTTGCACTATTTGTGGGCCCCCACGACACATATTAGAAATTGATTAATCTATATTTGAAATTATAGAGCTTTACGTGGATCATACCTTAAACAATCCGTGAAATTTACTCAACAATGATCCCACCAATACAAAAGTTTGGTTTGTATGTATTAATAAACAATCAGTAAAGTATAGGATGGAACCGTTTTAACTAACTCAATACAAACCCCAACCGTTTCATGTGTCTTGTGTAGTTTTGTGTGTATATATTCACGGAAAAGGGCCTATTTCAACATGAACTTTATCAGTCGTGCAAATTCCTTCCCGAACTTTGTAGTAGTGCGCATTTCATACTGAACTAAATAAAAACTTTAAAAAATACTACCTAAACTAAACAAAAGTATAAAAATACTACATGAATGGGTGATGCAGCTAGTTGCCGGAAGTTGTAACCGGCGGCGGTAGCTGGCAGAAAGATTGTACTATCGGACGGAAGAATACAACACTTGGAGGAAGAAACGACGGTAGCTGAGATCATGCTGGAAAATTCACAACACTTCGTTGTCGAATTTGATATCAGTCAACCGGAGAAACAAGGATGGAAAGCCGGTGAAGAAAAAACTGACCCCTTTACCAGCAGATAAAACCATCGAGCGGGGAAAAATATATTTGGTTCTCCCAGCCAAAAGAAGCGGTGGAGGCGTCGGTGATGACTTCAGAGGAGATACGGAAGATGTTACTTAGCGCAACGGAGGCAAGGCACCAGGAGGAACTCAATAAGGTTCGCATTGAGGTGAAACTCGAGTTCCTTGATAAATGTGAAGGTCTTTTTTACATGTACCATGAGAAGAAGATGAAAGAGTTCGAGCTGGTCCTTGCCGAAGCCAAGCTTCAAGATGTTCAGGTTACTACTATCGATTGGTCCAAATTGGGTGAGCCAATGATGTATGACTAAATATCTAACAAATCTCAATCTCAAACTTATTTTTTTAATTTTATGTTTAATGTTTTTTTTTTAATTTGAACACTATATACCGGTTGTTTACAACCGGTTTTGTTATATTTAATTTTTTTTTATTAATGTTTAATATTGCTTGATCTACTCTTATTTGTTTATTTATTGCTTAATTTACTCATCTTTTGGGTGTTTTAGGATTATGTTTGTTTAGAAATAATGGATTTAGTTATGTTTATTATTATTATAGATTATGTTATATAGATTCTGCTATTCTTTAGAAGTTTAATGCTTAGATACTGAATATATATTTTCTCTTAATTAAACAACATTCGATTTTTAAATTTATCTTTTCTCTTATTTATTAATCTTATTCTTATAATGAAGTTTTTTTTGATTTTTTTTTGACAATTCCGAAATGTACTTCTAATATGATTGACATATATCTCATCTTCCAAAACTATTTTTTATAAAGTTGTTTCTAAGATGTTCTTTCCAGTACGTAATGATTTGACATTTTGGTCATGTTATCCATATTTTTAGATAAATATTTCGTATATTTATTGCGTTTATCAATGTCAAACAATGATTACTCTTTTTGAATTCTTTTTTACATGCAAAAATCTGATGATGTTTTTATTTGGATATAAATAAAAAAATTTAATACAATTTTGGGCCTTTTATGGGCTATGGACTCATCCAAGTTTTGTTTTAATGGACCATCCAATTTTTCATATGGATCTAATATGTGTTTTAATTCTTCATACTCTCACAACACTTAATTTTATGATTCCCAGTTCAACCACTAACTGACTCGGTTATGCATAACTCATTGAAAAGACCCAACTAAAAGGTTAAATATACATCACATTCAAACATAAAACTATCATATAATACAAATCTAATCATTTGATACATTTTGTTACAACCAAAACAAAACCGGCGTTTCTCAAGCGCGGGTCAAAATCTAGTTTTACTTAAAACCCAAAACCATATTCGAAAACCCAAATCTGAAACTTAAAAATAATACTCATAATACTAAACATATATGAAACACAAATGTATATATATTTGAAATTTTGGATATTTCGTATACTCCATCAGGTCTTGGGTTCGGGTCGGGTCAGTCCAAGACCCGCAGGTCCTCCACAACAAGACCCAATAGGGTAAAATGATCGGTTCGATTCCTACCCAAAAAATAATAATTTCAGATTGGTTTTGGTTTCGGATTGGGTCTTTGGGTCCGGATAAAATGCCCAGGCCTAATATAATCTTTAACAAAACATTAAATTTATTATTCAACAGAATAAAACCTCATGTATATATATCAAAATGTGATCCAAAAAACTTTGGTTCTGATTAGTAACCATCGCAGAATCACAGAAAAAAATGTTAAGTTGTGGAAAAAGTTAATTAAGCTGCGGAAAATTTTAAAATTTTCAGAATTATAAGAGAAGTATCAATAGCTAAACTAATTATTACAAAATGTGAAATAATTAAAATTTATCGAAAATAATTTTAATTCTTATTATAAATATTTAGTATATTTTTCAATAAATTATTAATAATAGATTTATATTTTATAATATTATAAGATAAATTACAGTATAAGTTTATTTACAATATAACTATCATTACCAAAAATAACAATACTATTTATTTAAAATTTTAAAGTGGCATTATCAAATAATTTAATAATATGAAAGTATTGATTTTTTAAAACAAAATATTTGTCAATTATTGATTTTGTCAGGGAAAACGCAATCTTATGTTTTAGCATTTTTTTTAATTCCGCAAACTATTTTGATTGATAAAATACTTGTAGAATCACATTTAAAATACCATTACGCCATTCCGTAAGGTTACCAATCACAACCTTAGTGTCAAAGATGTGAGATGGATAAGCGTATGATGTACTCAGGTTTTACTACTAAAACCAGCTGTAAGTGCACATCAGTGCTTTGTAACCGAAGATCTCACGTTCAACTTGTTACCATAATGCCTCCTTGTTTTTGCTTTTTTTTTTCTTTGGATGTATTGACTCAAGGATAACTTCTTTTTAAATATTCTTTTCATTTTTAATGATATTAAAGTTCTTAGCAAAAAAAAAAAAGTGCACATCAGTGCTTAGTAGTAATATATGGATAAACAAAAACTAAGGTTACTCTACTGATGATGATGCAAATAGATTCCAAATATCTTAATTATCTAGTTTATTATTTATTTTGTTATTTATTATAATTAGTTAAAATTATCTTAACTATTTTTAATAATATTAAGATTATTTAATTTCCATATAGAAAGGTTCTTATATTTTGATTGTAAGACTAATTAATAAAAATGTTGAAGAAATAATTTAATAGTTGAAACAATACAATGCACATGTCAAAAAGTAAAAATTAATGATATTGATTATAGTGTTGGGAAATAATTGGATAAGGAGAAAGGAAAGTCCATTGACACCACATATCACATTTTCGAGATTTGTGATATCTTCATATCATTATAACGATCTTAAATCCATTATTTTATATAGATTAAATAAATTATTTTCATTTCTTATACGATATATATATATATATATTTCTATAAAAATAAACTAATTTTTTTAAAAAATGAACATAGACTTTTTTATTATTATTCATTAGCAAAATAGAATATTATAGTTTCTTAAATAAAACCATTGTATTAAATGCAAAAATGATATGGAATACTAAATGGTGAAAAATAAAATGTTAAATTATGTAATCACAGTGGATAGAAGACTCGCATGAAAGAGTTAAACATATATCTAATATTTATGGGGGTGGGCATTTGGGGTTTTTTATCGGTTCGGTTTGGGTTTGGATCAGTTTGATTAATTCGGCTTTAACATTTTTCCAGCTGAAATAAATTATAATTAATTCAGTTCGGTTTGTATTTGGTTTGGTTTATTTTTTATTCGGTTAATTTGGTTCTTCTTAGTTTAGTTCTTTAAGAGAAATTATGTTTCAAACATAATCGCATGTTTGTCTTAAAGTCGATGTTGATCATAATAAAAATAAACTATGTGAATTAAATCTAATATAAAAGTGAAACAATTTAAAAAAAAACACACAAAAAGTTACAAGAACTCAATAAAATCAAAGGTAAATAAATTTAAAAAAAAACTCTGTATGAACTCAATTAAACCCTAACCACTGCATTAAAAATTCTGTAAAGTGGAATATGGGTTGTGATCTGATTTAAAAAATTCAAAATCCAATGAAACTTGCAACAACAAATTACATAATTTCAAAAACACTAAGAAGCCAATCTTGACGATATTCTTTTGGAACACAAGACACGCCCAAAGCTTTAGAGCATGTTCAACGCAGGAAGCTCCAACACGGGATTATAGGTAACTTTTTGGATTTTTTATTATCTTTTTGTCTGATAAAAAAGTAATAATTAAAAGACAAACCAATTGTGGGTTACTACGTATCAGAAGGGTCCGCGAACAGTGAAAAAAACGAAAAAAGATCGATCCTTGTATATGACCCGTAAGACCGTTTCTTTAAAAACAATGGAACCAACTGATTTTTTTAATTATTTTTTTTGATAGAAATCGAAGGCTAAGAACCTGCGTTGAACATGACCTTAAAAGCCTAAACCAATCATTGTCATTATACTAAAAAAATCTAAACCAATTGGGATAACTAAATGGAAAGTACCTAACTTAGCATACACTATACTTGAAAGAAACACCTAGCATTACATGAAAACTTGTCAGCCGCAGCATATGTCAAATTCTGAAGTTGGGTCAAATATGATTTGTAGCCTTGTGTAAATACAACTGCTTATCATGATTTTGTGTTATGTTAAAGGTAAAATTGTTTGTATAATATAACATTCGTTATTCATTTTGATTCAATTAAAAAAAATTCAGATATCAGTAAACTATTAAAGCAAAACAAATTAATAAAATTTAATATCCGCAAAAATCTAAGCAAATCACAAACACTAAAATTTTGAAATCCAAATATCCGCTCCAGAAGATATATATATCAATATATGCATATTCTGATTATATTTAGAATTTAAATGTATAAGTTTGTATAATTATTATTCTAACATATAATTTGATAAATTTTCTTCACATTATTACATATAAAGTATTAAATAGAAAAAAAATATGACATTTATAACTTTTTGTCAAGTTTTATCTTATTATTATTATTAACTGTGTTTAAATTTTACAAAACATGAGTTTAAAATAGTTGTATTAAATAAAACGTATTAGTTTTTTTTTTTGAATTGAATGTTAAATTTAACTCAAAAGAAAAAATACCTTGTTACAACCATGTGTGTCTTTTCTAAAATTCTAAAAAGAAAACATGAATCTGAACAACATATAGACTCTTATACTCAACGCTGCAACTCGACCACCTCCAAAACAGAATTACTCAAGAAGAAATCAATAATCTAGCACTCACTCCTACTAGATAACCAGCTCTCACTCCTACTGGAACCAGCCCTCACTCCTACTGGTTTTGATAACTCCTCAAGTCCACTTAGCACTCACTCCTACTAAGGTACCAGCCCTCACTCCTACTGGTTCAATCCTGCGCACAACCAAACCCCTGCCATCTCGAACTCCACCTGAAAGTATAACAGTTTCCTCTATCTTGAACCAAACCAAAAACTCAGACCTCCATCAAGCTCTCTAATACCCTTCTTCTTAACAATGGAGAGCTTATTTCTCATAGTTTTATCAATCCTCTTTATCAACAAAGTAGCAGGCGAGTGATCTTCTCCATGCCTTCTCATATTTCTCTCCCTCCAAATAGAATGAACTGCAGTTTGTAGGATATATCTCACAACGAAAAGCTTGATAAAACGTATTAGTTATTTGTAAGTATTCGTAAATATCCACAAATATCCATATAATTTCCGGATACTATCCATATTTTTCGAATCAAAATAAATAAAAATTAGATATCCATAAGAAAAACACAAAAACTAAATTTTTTGCTAATATT